TGATCAAGACTTTTCTAAGATTTTACATTACAAAATAGGTAAAAGTGTGTGACTTGTGCTGTTATGGTAATGGGTCAATATAGGTATCGGACAATTCTCAAAGTTGCAATATCGGTATCGTATCAGAAGTGAAAAAGTTGCATCGGCACATCCCTACTTAAGTTGTTTCAATAATTTATGGTGTGTTATATATTTTATTGTACAAGATTAAATGTGCCTTTAAACTGTCTAAAAATCATGAGAAAACGTGTTCAAAATCACTATGAGTTCAAAAATCAAATGGATTCATATTTTGGTGTATTTAGGAAAGTTTCAATACTTTAAGGTTTGATACCTCCAATTTGAAAAGTTTGTGTAGCAGTACGCACAATCTCACGGTAGATTAGAAGTTAGAGTACATTTGCACACTCACCAAACGCTCATTTTCATACATCCCAACATGTGTGTGGAACACCATTTAAACATGAGGCCCCTGGGCTGCATCATGGAAAACCATGGAGARGGAAAGTTTGGACAGCTCTGTAATTTATTTAACAATTCAGTCTTTGTTTTTCACTGAAAACAGAACCATATTCCAAACTAAGACCCATGTCCTTGGTGAGTTTAGGCTAATGTGACTGAACTGACATTAAAACATAAATGTCACCAACTCTAACACAACTGGAGGGATCAATCAGACCAGCTGTTGTCAGATGAATGAAACCTACTTCTCTTGGAGGTCAATGTTATGTGCACGTTTAAAAATTAGACTGGTGGAGCTGTACAGGAGCTTACTCAGCTGAGGAGAGAAATGATAAATAACAGAAAGTCTCTCTTCGGTGAGGTGAAGAACCTGCTGCAGGGTGTGTGAAAGGAGCACACACACATTAGCTGCCAGCTCACAGATTTGCCGTCTAAGATTTACTGAACTTACTGAAATTATCCTGGTAGAGTTTGGAATATTTCAGCACAGCTCATTCCCATATGACCTTAGACTCAACACTCTCAACCTCTTTACTTTCTGACTTCACTTCTGTCGACTCTCATCCTCACAGCTTTTAGTCATTGTTTCGTTCAGAAAAAAAATTAACTTTATGTTAAAGCTTTGAACCTGCTGTCTCAGATTACATTGTTCTTCCTCTGACTACGTCTGGAAATTCTTTTACAGACTCAACCATTACACACACTGTCTGAAATGTACTAAATGTTCAAAAGTAAACATACAACATGYAGCAGCAAAACGTGACTCAGCTGTTTCTGCCCGCTTTTTACAAATTAGGTAACAGRCTTAGGGAATGATGTTATTCAGTGATTTTTTTTATTACATATGATATACAAAAACTTCAACACAAAAAAGACTGAAAAATCAAACATTTGAACAGCAATTATGGGTTTCAGGACTGCAAAGAAACTTCATGAATATTTGTGCTGGATGGGAAAGCACTTCCACATGTGCTGTTCCTTAGTTTTGTCATATTTATGTTACTGCACAAAGCTTTGGCGAAATCATACTAGCCCACTACATCATAATAGTTACTTCAAACAGTTCTAATAATGTATGAATAGAGCTGGACGATACAGCTAAAATTTATWTCATGATATAACTYCTAATKYTAGTCGATACGATATCATTTCCATATTGGAAAGAAAAAGAAAAATGTCAGATAAACTGCTAAAAATGCCAATATCAAACCTGATGTCATTTAAGATMTAAAGTGATATACAGTATAAGTTCAAGCCATTTACTAAGATATATTTAATCAAAATTAAGAATAGTTTAATTGTTGATATCCTAAATGTACGATTTAGTAATTTATTGCAAATACCCTAAATTAGCTAAATCTTATCACCACCACAAAAAAGTTTCAGGTTCAGGATTTTGTTTTTACTTTAGCCATGAGTTTGTCGGGTTTTAGGTTTTCACTCCATTTTCAGAACAATTACTGTTGTTCTGCTGCTTTATTTCCAGATATTTTATCTAAACTATTAATGTAAACCATTTATGTTCATATGGCTAAAAAAATAAACATCTAAAAAATTATCCACAGAGATTCTAATGAATTGTATKTACTTATTAGGAAATTGATATCAAAGCATTGAAAGCAATGCTGAATCAAAATAGAAYAGTGACTCAAAGAATTGTAAGTGAATTGAATTGAATTGTGAGGTTATTAACAATTCCCACCCCTAGTAGCTAAAATGTAAAAAAAAATTGATAAAAACTTAAAGGCTATAGTTAGCAAAAAATAAAATCCCCAATTMATTTCAATGAAACTAAAAGTATCAAAGTTACAAATACCAAATGTCCTAGCACCCTTCTCCTGGATGAGCTAAAAATGTTGGCATGTGAATGATTAAAACAACTGAACGTATGCTGAAGATTTTAGATCACAAAGAAATGAAGGAAATTAACAGGAAACCAACATGCTGAGTCAGCATTCACTCAATGATTACAGAACTTATGTGTTGCAATATTACTGGTCATTGGTCCCCATTGGCCAAGTACTGTGCTTTATATCACACAGTGTTCTGCAATCTGCAGTACTATCTTTCCTTTTCTCTCTTTTTTAGTTTGAAAACTATTTTCACATCCAATTACATTTAAAAAYAGAGTTCAAAWGAAAAGCAAAGATGTCATTTRGGGGCGCACCGATAAATCGGCCTGCCAATTTATCTGAACCATGCCAGTTTCATTAATTTTGGGAGATCGGCCAATATTCAGGCAAGATCAGTGGAAAACTTCGGCTTTTCATCTCCCTCCACAAAGATCTGAAAACCAGYCACTGTCCTCTTTTACTCTGCTGTGAGCTCTACCTTATGTCCACTTAACAATAGTTTGTATTGTTTCAAGGGTATTCAGTGTTTTTCAATAAAATAAGACTGGAACATTGAAGGTGTATTGTGACCTTATAACATCYGACAGCATYRGTTATTTTAAAAATCTGCATCAGTTGGTCAGGCTTTTTAATGATYGGTGATCGGCCAGAAAACTGCAATCAGTGCAGCCCTAATGTCATCTAATGCCTGACTGTACAGGTTTTTACCTGASTGAGCTGCAAAGAAGAAGCTGTGAGACTCAGTGATTTTAATTATGATATGCTTAGTCATGATTTCTCCCTGCAGATAGGAGTACAAAAGTAGTGCTTTCTCTTATGCGAACACGCTTTGCACACCACAAACACAAGATTGAATCATTCATGAGGCACCCCAACAGATCAGGAAGGCTGCAGCACTCAGAGCTCAGCAAGTCTTACATGTAATTAGGTCGATACTTGAGTGAGTTGGAGTCAACAAGTCAGAAATAAAGTAWAAAACTTGAGCCACAATGAACTGTTTCAGATTTTGAAGGAAATYAACAGAAAGAAAGTTGTTTTAATAAAACACCAAGAAAAACGTGAGAAAAATCAGTGAGTTGGATGTTTGATTGGATGGATGTTTTAAGCTTTAATATCTTGTGAAATTTTAAGTTACTATTAACACCAAACACTTTAACAGAGGAGCCATTTTTCCAGCAAATACCTGGCCCCAAAACATTCTTCCCAACTTTTTCTTTTTGTCTCAAACATTATTCCAGCTGAGCACATTTGTTAGCGATTTAACATTTTGTCTGACAAATCCACTAACAGAATGTCAGTAAACACATCTGATTTGCGGCATGTGGACGTGCAGCTAAGCCGGACCACCGGCCCCTCACCTTTTGGCTTCCTCCARATGACAGAGATACTCGTAGGCCATGTTCTGCTGCCGCCGCTCGTCCATCTCCTCCGCCGTGAGTCGCTCCACACCATCCAGGACGGCTGCAGTCAGACATGAAAATCAGACATGTTTACACCAGGAATAAAGCCTAACATCATGGCACAAAGTAACATCCCTTAAAGCAGGGGGGTTTCAAACTGTGGGGTGCWCATCACCATTAAAATGTGACGACCTTCAGACTTCAGTTTGAACAGTTCAGAGCTGAGCTGTGATGTGCAGAAGTGACGTCACACAGCAGGCTTTGTTTGAGGAAGTATCACATGTTGCTATGTGTTAACGTGGGTTATTTTGAAGTTCTTGTGCAGAAACACTTCAATTATCCGACTTGTTAGGTCCAGCATTTACATTTAATCTTGGCTCCTGACAGGTCTTTTATTTTTGGGGGACAAGCTGAAGGTAAATTAAACTCAATGTATTAATCTCARCACGTTAGCATCGACAGCGCTACAACAGTTTAATATTTGTGTCATTCTTCTGGTCCTGTCTGTTGACAGCTCAGGGRTTTGAGTTCTGTTGGGTTGTTCCTGAGGTGGCGAGCCTTCCCACCTGGACTTGGACAGATTGAGACTCCTCCTTTCCCAGTTGTGCTGCACCCTGTGGGGTGGTAGGCCTGTGTCAGCCACACCTTCACAAACAGCTGGGTAAGCTTGAGACCACCGACTGACTTTTTATTGATTTTATTTTCATATATCCCAGGAAATTTCAGAATATACTATAGTTTTTATTTGGGACCATTGTWTAATAAGATGTTTCCAATTTAAGTAACCAGGTTGCACCTGATATAGAAACACAGAACCAACACTTGACCAAGTTTATCTCATTTTTTTGTCATTTTCTTATATATAATATCTGGTTCCATTAAACACACCAGTGTGCTCCTATAGTCAAACCTACTGGTCTATTAGAAGTAATTTTATAAATACTCACTACTTGGTATTGGATATTTGTGCTCCAGGAATTCAGCGTCACCGTCTAACCTGGTGCAGACAGTCTGATTTCAGTCCTGTCTGCTCACTCCTCCCCTACAGAGACCAATAAATTACTGAACAAAACTAACGTGAGTTCTATTAAACTGGACAGATGGGGCACACCTATTTTATTTGTATTTTTATTATTTTTATTGATTTTTTTTACATTTTTAATTACTTTTTTGAGTAAAATTTTAGATTTTTCTTCATTTCGACCATCTGACCCAAGTGTCATGTTTGATGAAGCCAAGCATCAGTCCTTGAGCTGTTTTATAAACTCTTGTTAATATATTCTACTACTTCTTGTTAATATTTAGCCTGAAGTTTCCATATATGTGGTACTCTGATTATTTTTACTTTAATAAAATGTCATTTAAAATATTCAACACTTTTTTATTCTTCCACAATCTCTTAGGAGGAACAATAAAAATACAAGTAAATTGTTGAAAACTTTTGTCAAATCATACACAGGTTTATTCTCATAAAGAATAACTCAACACTCTAACACAAAATGAAATTTAAAATAAAAAAATCTAACTATACTCATAAAACTGCTGATTGTGGACTCTTCAAACACCCTCAGCTTTGTTCCAAATGCCAGGAAAATGCATTTCTAATGTTCTAAATTTCACATTTTTGCTGGCGGAGGACCTCCAGACCTGCTTTGATCAATTACTTGGTCAACCCCCTACTTTTTCACAATAGCCTCTTACTTCTGAACCTTTTGAACCCCCTGAATGTATCTGTAAAAATAACAGGGTTGTAGCCTCTTTCTTGTTGGTTAAGATCAGCTGTGGTGGTCATCTAAAAAGGAAATGACTCAATAAGTTAATCTGCTGTAGAGTGAGTTAAACCTAATAATGACTTTATACACTGTATTGATCCCCTGGTGGGGAAATTAAGTCTCTGCATTTTACCCATCGCACATGTGAGCACTCGTGGAGCAGTGGGCTGCCAACTGCAGCGCCCGGGGAGCAGCTGGGGGGTTTAGGGCGTTGCTCAAGGGCCCAAGGTGGGGCTGGTTGGTCCGTGGGGAGTCGAACCGGCGACCATCCGATCACAGACTCTGCTTCTCTACCCTCTGCGCCACCACCCCACCAATTAAGATTTTATTAATTTCTTCAATTCTATATACAATAAAAAATACAAATCACAAATAAAATGAAAGGCAGCAGAAAGAAGAAATAATATATCTGCCCATTTTTTCCTAAAAAACGACATATAAATAATATTTTATAAATAACTTCCTGAAAGTTCTGTCAGAATCAGTCCAGTGGATCAGGAGTGATGACGCTAAAAGGGCTAATTTTGTTGAAGTCAACATTTATCACATAGGTTTTCAGCAAAGTTCTTGTGCAACAAGCAGAACTTGGTGTGAATGACTCCCAGCTATGACTGCAGAGAGCTTTACAGCAATGTGCTGAAGGTGTCAGCCATCTTCAATCAGGCTGACTCCACAAGTTAATTCAGTAAATATCTCATTTCTGCAAGTTTCATTAAAACTTATCCAACGGTTCAGGAGATGCTTTGGTGAAAGTAAGACACACAAACATCACCTTTCATGGTGGGCAACAACAACAGAAGATATTCGGGTTGCACAATAAAGAACTCCCACAAAAAGCAGCTTCTTTCACAAGACTCAAAGYGCTTTAGTCATCTAGCAGTTAACACATGTTGCTAACCCATCCTTGTGCTGAGCTGTGCGAGGATACAGGACAGAACCAGGTGTGCACAACCAGACCATTCCTTGGAGATTACACAGAAAGGAGCTGCAACTCCCTTTTTTTCCATTTACACTGAAATTAAGGTGAAGGGGAGGAGGCAGATTCTTTTAACCTCCTGAGGATTTGGGGTGGGAGTGGGTTTAAGTCAATGGGAGAAAACAGGACACATCCACAGCAGGTAAAACAGGCTTTGAACAAGAAAACTAGAAGTTAAGAGTGACTCCCTCATATCTGTGCATGTTTCACCACTAACACAATAAATAAAGAGTGCCAGGTTATCATCGACAGACAACTGTGGGTTTGTCTTTATGCATGCATTTGTCTACATTTTCTTAATATTTCATGCATCACTGAGTGCATTTGAATAAAACCTTTCAGAAAGCAATCATTGGGTTAATATGTACAACAAGCTGCCAAAATACATCTACCTTAAAGTGCCTGTAATTTCAACTTTTTTATAATAAATATAAACGCATTTTATAAAAGATAATATTAATCAGGAAATTGCAAAAACATTTTCACACCGCTGAGATGGACAGTTGTTGAGATATTTGCAACGTGCAGTAACAGGAAGTGATGTCAAAGGGGAGCAGCTGCAGGTCAACGGAGCATCGCGACAACAAGCTAACTCTGACAGTAGTGAGGAGTTTAATGCTCCTTTATTTCTGAGTCGCTATCAGAGAGGAAGAGTCAAGAGTTCAAATAATATTTTTTTAATAAATAAAAACCAGAGATCTCTTAAAGGCTGTATCCAAAACGGCAGGACGGGTCCTCCGAAGGCCGAACTTGTCGGCCGTAGACGTCACAGCGCCGCGACGAAGGCCGTCCAAAACCGAAGACTCCTCCAATGCGGCCGACAAATACGTCCTTCCTTTGGCCCGAATCGAAGGACAGGTCYGATGGATCCTTCCCGGCCCAGCATATCCCATAATGCTTTGCGGCCCGACCGGAGATTTTTTTATGCTAGTAATGGCGGACGAAGCGAGAGAAAAGAATACATTTTAAATAAAAAATATGGTGATATAAAAATTAAAAAAAATTAGCGGTTGTAATTCTAATACTTTTATCATTTGAATAGACATGTTTTTAAATATTATTTTTGTCATAAAAAACGCGAAATAAACATGAACCTACAGCGGGTCAATTACTTCTTCAAATGATACCTTTAAGTTAATTTTATAGTTTTGTGATATTAATAATGTTAATATGTTGATATTTTTCTAATTTTGATTTAAGTTTGCTTGTTTAGCGTCGTCACAGTTGCTAGGTGACATGACGTACGCCGGGGTAAGGAGGGGAGGCTAGACCGTCCAAATTCACAGCCTCTTTTTTTCCCGGTCTTCCCGGTCTACCAAGGACCCGGCCCGTCGCGACCGGGTAGTCTGGGTCCTCCGGAGGACCCGGCCTGTCGTTTTGGACACATGTTTAAAGAGTTCCCATTTGATGTCACTTCCTGTTTCACTCTGGCTGAGCCAAATGCAAAAGAACATGTGGCAGCTATGTGACAGAAAAGTTAAATATAAAGATGTTTAACTTTTTTATATTTGAAGTATAAAATATAGGATATACCCATCAATGCATGTCACAGTAACTTCAAGTCATGGTCATATTATGTTTTAGACCTTTAAACATTTTATTATGACTAAATTCTCATATGGGTTATATATTCAACCCAGTCATTAGTATTGCAGTATGTATATGTCCAAAACAGACTTCAGTAGATTTTTTTTACATCTTAAGTGTTGAATTAAATTTTCACTAGTTGGCTTAAGTTGTGTAAAACATTAGTGTGACAGGAGGAAAGACAAAAACAACCATAACTGATTATATTTAAGAGATGCTGAACTGAAATTGGGTGTGTTAGCCAAGTGAGCGCTAACTGATTGCGTAAGACTTGTGTTCAAAATGTTGCCTGTATCTTTTGGAACCAACTTAGTCTGTTAGGAACATATCTCATGAACCACAAGACAGATGTGAATGAAAGGTGCAGGAAATAATCACTGGATGTACCTCTGCAGGTGAGTTCACTTTTGGATCTGCTCCAGTGTCAGATGGCTGCCAAAGCCTATGRCCTTCGAAACATTAAACAGATCTCCTGCTCTCTTATCTTTACAAATGTTGAGCTAAGATTTGGTGTGGTAGTAGCTGAGAGTTATTCACTACATCTACTCCAAAGTGTTGCTGCATTTCACAACATGGTTTTAAAGTTTAGCAGTAACTTTTAATGCAGCAGGCCGTGTGCTTTCTCATGCTAGACATGCAATGGTGATATGTGATCATTAATAAAAAAGGAAAATATTTACTCGATCGAAATAAATAAAAGTCAATTCATTCATGTTTTTCTTCAGATGTTCCTTCCAGAGAAAAGTGGAGCTTTTTGGGCGGTGGTTGGTTTGTTGAAGGAGAAATGTAAACAGTCTGGAGACTTTCAATGGCTGAATGRATGTCCTGCTGCAATTAATAACCACACCGTGTATTTGCTCAGGCTGTAAAAAACTACAAGAGGTAGAGGAAAAGTTGTGTGAAGTTGTGTACAGCAGGCCTCCTCCTCTGTGCAGCAGAGAAACGCGGAAGTGTGTCAGTAAAGTGCAGCACGCGCTGTCAGAGCGTCTTCAGGAGACTTTTCTGAACTTTGAATGGAGTCTGCGGGACCAGAGAGGGGTGGCGGGGGGCTGCTCCCGGAGCTGCGAGCTGAAGCAAAGCACGGAGAAAACACAGAAATGTAAACTTACAGCCGTATCTCGGCCGCAGCCCGTCTGTCTCATCTGAAGTTGACATCCTCCTCCTCTTTTACAGACACTGTCTGCGCTCCACGCTTCTCTCGAAAACAAAACAAAAACTCGAAAAAAAAAACTTGGCGGTCCTGCTTTCTTCTACGTCCACTTTACAAACTCTCCGCCGAGACAAACAGCCGTAACTCCGACAGAAAAAAAGCTGGCRGGACCTTTCGGCCCTCTTCTTCCACCTCTGCAGTTTGAGTCGAGACTTTTTTCTCTCTCTCTCTTTCTTCTTCAAACCTCCCTGATGTCACTGGGTGTGTTCTCAATCCTGAAGTATGCGTTTCAGGAAACAGTGCAGCCTGCGGGCAGCGACGCAGCTGCGCCCCCTGCTGGTCCAGACCGGAACTCACCGTGAGTCTCAGAGATGGGGGGGCTCATCACATACAACTGTTACAAAAACAAGTCACCGTTTTACTCTGAAGGGTTCAACAATAAAACCCTTCTGGTGGGTCAGATGTTTACCAGAAATGTATGTTTACTCAGTAATATTAAATTCAACTTTAACTTGCTGTGACTCAAACAGTATATTGTTGTGCTTGATGCAATGAAATCTGTGAACTCTGGAAATTTATTGATAAATGTAACAGACACCACCATTGGTAAAGCTTACTCCTCTTCAACCTGTAAGAATTAATTCGTTGTTGTTGTTGTTGTTGTTGTTGTTGTTGTTGTTGTTGTTGTTGTTGTTGTTGTTGTTGTTGTTGTTGTTGTTGTTGTTGTTTCTGCACCCTTAGCTGTTTTCTACTGGAAGAACTTTGTCCCCGATTCACTGTAGAAAAATGTGTGGACGTTTGATTAGAAACTTAATAAATAAAACGAGATGTTTCCTTTAAACTGTAATACAGACTTTATCCTACTAATTAAATACATGATGAAATATATTAAAACAGCAGACACGTGAGCCCTGTTTCAGAAAGCAGGATAAGTTGAAATCCTTACCCTGTGGACCAACCCTGCTCTGCAGCAGGATCACTGGATCACAGAGAAAACTCTGCAGCTCAGCCTGACGAGAGGGGCCAGGTCTTTTCTGTCCTCTGCAGAGCAGCTGCAGAACCAGGTGATTAAGGAAAGCTTGTTTTAAACTAACGTCTCTGTTGGATTGTCCCAACTCGGTGGTGATAGGTGGGGTCCAGTAGAGTTCAGCTGAGATGAGAACATCACCTCCTTCCTGCATTCAACAGAAGAAAACCTCCCTGTACTGAACTCCTCCCTGTAAATAAATATTCACCTTTTACCTGCCTCTGGTTGTGTTTCCTCCTCTTTGTCGACCACACCTGTTTCTGGGTACAAGTGCAAACAAACKGAATATAATATTCAGACAGATACCCGAGGCAAGACTGACTACGAGCAGCTCCGGCTGTTAACCCAACAAAGCAGGAGAACTTCTAGACAGGAACAAATTCTCCAACAGGTTTTAGAGCAACAACATACCCATGGACCCAAACATGAGCCCTGCTCTCCCTACAGTTCCCTCCATAATCTCCTCTGCAGGTCCTAATGTTTTGACTGATCCCCCTCCAAGTCACATCAAGGAGCCAGACATGTGGCCAGCTCAGTTCTTTGAGGTGATCTGGACCACGTTGATGGATGTTTTGTCTGAATATGTTCTGGTGGAGATATATCCTAAAAGGGGCTGACATTATAAGATTTATTCTTCTTCTGCAACCTTTCATTTTCATTTTATTTTTTGATTTGTGTATTTTCTTTGTTTTATATTGTATATAGTTATTTGTATTTCATTGAAATGAAAAAAAAGAATCAATCAATCATTTTTCATCACCTCTCGTTGGCTTTCAGTTGTGCACCTACAGTACAAAACGTATGCACAACTTTTGTTGCTACCGCTCTGCAAAGAAAAGCGTTACAGTGGGCACATACTTGTTTCTGTCAAAAAATAAACCTGTCGATGGCGCTTCTGCTATTTTCTGTTTACATGAAGGATTTGAAAAGTTTTCGATMGACCACCTCATCAGGAAACCAAGAAGCTACTCTCTCTGTCAGGGTAACCAATCAGCAACAGAGTTCTCCGTACAGTACTGGATTGTGGCTCAACAGTTAAGCAA